AGTACTCCCTACTCTAGGCCTTCAGAAAAATTAGATCTGCCCACTCTTGCCTTTTAAAAAGTCAAAATGTTATATATATTGTATAGACATAATTATATGTAATTATTATTTTTAACTATTGGGAAAGGGAAAAAATGCTGTTAAGACTGAAGTGGCTAATAATGCCCCCAACCCAGGCCCTTCCACAATATCAAATCTGCCAATGAGATTTTAAGGGAAATACATCAGTTCCTAGAATATATAGGGAATTATTAATATTTTAAGATGGTTAAAATTGTATCTGATCATGTAATAATCTTACTATAAGAGGGCACACTCTAAAGACAGGGAATGGGAGGTCACTTGAAAAGAATCAGATGCACTAGAACTGAACTGAATACAACCCAAAAAATGAATATTTATTGCATATGGAAGCACATTGGGTACTGTGCTTTGTTTGGGGTGGGAAAAGAGGACACCAGAGGGCATTTTTATTACATAGAAGTAGGGGGTCCTCCTTCTACCTTTTCCCCCATTGTTTTTGTATTGTGGTAAAATAAGCAAAACAAAATTTTCTATCCTAAATCTTTTATGAGTGTAGTTAATTAGTATTGTCTACATTCACATTGTTGTACAATCACCACTGACTTATCTCCAGAACATTTTACTTTTCAGACCTATTCATACATTTCTGTCAGATTTTTTTAAAATGGGGACAATTCACCATTTGAACATTAGTGTATAACAGAGTAACTTACCACCAGATACTACTTTACATGTATTAACTCAATGAATTCTGTTAAGAAGTGCATGGAATAGAGCTCTAACCACCTTGAAGATGAAGAAAGTGAAAGTCATAATGTAAATGGGAATTGAACCTAGGTAGTTTATGCATGTAACCACTATGCCCTATGGTTTCCCCAGATCATTTTCTGCCAATAAATATTCTCATGAAAAGTCAGCATCAGGGGATAGGTTAAATACACTATGCTGTAGGAAGTCTCACAGTCCCCTTCTTTGCTCCCAGTGGTGATGGGCTTGGTTTCATTGCTAACAATGGTTACCTGGCTCAGTAATTGTCAATGGGGGCAGTGGTGAATAGGGCTTATGAAAAACTACTGGCCCCTCAGATGATGTTTATATGACCTGTTACAGGTAAGTTGTACACTCTTTTCATAGAATATTTTATTGACATGAGGGGAAAAGCAGGTTATGGTGGAGTATATCAAAATGATAGTTTTTGTAAATATTTGTGTGGATGTATACATATAAGAAAATTAAGCAAACTGTTAACTAATTTTTTCTGAAATTTTTACATTCCCTACATATTGATTTGATTGATTTGAGTTGAGGGCAGGGGGAGAAACACTTTCATGAAGTAAAGCTTCATGGAAGGTTATGCCAAGAAGCCCTTACCTAAAAGTGATATTCTATGCCTCTTTGTACTCCAGGAAATTGGCAGTTTTTAGAAGAGAAGGAAATTTTTACCACAGGTGGTGCTTCTCACAGAACAAGGTTTTTTAAGGAGCACTAGAGAGAGACCCGGCATAACCAAGAAGACACCTGGTTTGAGGGTCAAAGCCAAAATTTCAAATACAGTTTTTGCTCAAATCTAGGAAGAGGGATGATTACCAAGATCACCACCCTATAAGAAACTTGCTTCTCCTAATTTATTAGGCTTACACATCAAGCTTTTATGTGCTACCTTTTTATATGTGATGTAGCTGGATGTTTTTGTGCTTGTAGTGCAGGCTCTCCTTATGGTGTACATCATGCTAATGTCAAGGAAGACATGGAAAAAGAGACCATGGTCTATTCTCTTGTAAACTCTTATAGTGTGAAATGTATAGGAACTGAATGATGTTGACAGACTAGTAATAGTTAAATATAACATACTTAATATGCAGAGACAGTAGGGATGTAATTTTTAATTTAAGATCCCAACACAGAAGGCAGGGTATAGAGGCTAATGGCTTTGTGCCACATAGGAGACATTCATGGCTTTTTATTCATGTTTAGGATGTTAAGAGATACAACATATCAAAGATATCTAGTGTCATTCATTTATTCAAGAACTTATGGGAAGTAATTCAGGACAGGAGTGGTACTATGTTATCGGGGACATAGTTTCCTTCTCTCTTGTTTCTCCACTTTGCATGGCCTCAAACTCTTGATCTAAGAGGACAGTGTCTGCTTCAGGAAGAAGGGAAGAGGAAGAAAAAAATAAATTGCCACCACATGAGATTCCTATTTCCACTTATTAGAAGGACGTGGAAAATGTTTTTATGCTTGGTAACTATATGAAATAAAATCTGGGTGTCTGTACCACAGTTAAATAAAATAATTAGAAGATGGCAATTAGTATCCTCTGCCATAAGCACCAATTGTAGGATCTTTTAACCTTGGTGGTGTGGATGTTTTGGGTCAGACTAATTCTGTTGTGGGTATCCTGTGCATTATAGAGTGGGATTAGCAGCATCCCTGGCTTTTGTCCACTAGTAGCATCCTGATTGTGATTACCAAAAATATCTCTATGTACTGCCAAATGTTCTTTGAGGAGGTCCTTTCCACTCCTTGTTGTGAACCATTGATTTACTGTGTGTAGGAACTGTTAGTCACTGGGAAGAAGACAAAAACAAACCATAAGTGAGACAGTTTCCAATAGTGGTAAATGTTAAGATGAAAATAATAGGGTAAAAAGTCAAGATAAGATCTTGGCATTGTGATGCATGCCTGTAATCCCAGCATATAGGGAGGTAGCGAAAGGAGGATCCCAAGTTTGAGGCCAGCCTCTGGAATTTAGTGAGATCCTGTCACAAGATAAAAAAAGTAAAAGGGCTGGGCATATATCTCAGTGGAAGAGAGCCCCTGGGTTCAATGCCCAGTCCTGAGGAAAAAACAACAACAACAACAAAAAACAAAAGCCAGTTGAGTGAGATGTAGGGAAGGTGGATTGACAGGATGCTGGACATTAGGTGGGAGTCTGATGAAATCTTGGGGGGTTCAGGTGATTTCAGGTGCAATTGAAAATATTTGGAAAACTTTAAACAGGGAATGACATAATGACATGATCTTTGATCTTTTTAAAAATTAAAAAAAATCAGGTAGTTGCTGAGAATGTATATGAAAGGGTTAGGAGAAGATCCAGGGAGATCAGAAACAGTTTGTCATAATAGTTCAAGTGAAAGTTGATGCTGGCTTGCAATTTTGAGTGGCAGAGGAATGGAGAAATAAAATTCAAGGAGGAAAAAGTAACAAAAACAGGAGATGGCTAAGGCAATCTTTGATTTGTCCAAATGGCTAACAGGCAGCCTAAGTAGTGGTTTTCCACACATTTTGAAATTCAGTCCAGGCCTGTATAGATTAGTCTTGTCTATTTCTGTATTAGTTTCCCCTAGCAGCTGTAACAAGTCACCATAAACTTGGTAGCTTGAATCATCATATTTATTCTCATAGTCCTGGAGGCTAGAAGTTCACTATCAGTTTCACAGAAAGGTATGCAGTGTCATGATCCAGCACAGACTCTAAGATAGAGAATTTGCTGCTTGCCTCTTCCAGTTTCTGGTGGCTACTGGCATTCCTTCACTGTGGATATCACTCTAATCACTGCCTCTGTGGTCATACTGCCACTTCCTTTAATGCTTGGTGGTATCTTCCTTTATTGCTCTAATAAGGATAATTGTGATTATAGTTAGGACTTAGCCAGTTCTCAGATTATATAACCTCTCCATCTCAAGAGCCTTCATTTAATCACATATTTTATCTTCTGCCATAGAAGAAAATACTTCCAGCATCCAGGGATTAAGACATGGGTATTTCCTGGGAGGCTGGAATTCAGTCTGTCACACACAGTTCCTTAAGTATTTGAAATCACTTTTGGCTAGAGAAAGAGGGACTGAAAGTCACATGTTTCTTTATAGATCAAAGTGGAAAGCAACACTGTGAGACAATAATAAATAAAATGCTCTTCAGTAAACAAACAGAAAAATCTTAAGAAAAATAAAATTTCATAAGTGGATTTTCTTTTTTTTTTTTTAACTTTTTTTTTTTTTTTTTTTTTTTTTTTTTTTTAGAGAGTGAGAGAGGGGAGAGAGAGAGAGAGAGAGAATTTTTAATATCTATTTTTTTTAGTTCTCGGCGGACACAACATCTTTGTTGGTATGTGGTGCTGAGGATCGAACCCGGGCCTCACGCATGCCAGGCGAGCGCGCTACCGCTTGAGCCACATCCCCAGCCCCTCATAAGTGGATTTTCAAGATTTCTAGGAAACAGGCTGAGAGATTTTAAAAAATACAGGCATGCTTCATAGACTTTAGACAGTCATTCTAGACTAGACACTAAAAAGCCAATGCTTGAAAGAATTTCTATATTTATACATTTGGTAATGGACACTCAAATGCATGATACATCACATGTCTGGAGGGCTTGGCTGGGCCATTCAGTTGTGGTGGTACCCAGATTAGAGAGACACTGAGAAGGCAGTAGACACCAAAAAGAAAATGAGAAGGCAGAACTAGGTTAATCCACAGAGGCAGAGCAAGATAACAGGCACAAATAGCTTGGCAGCTGTGGTTGGAAGCTCTAGATTGGGGTTCAGGGACAAGACTTTGTCACTGGAAAGGGATCCTAGTTCCCAACATAGTGTAATAAGTAACTAGGAGAGGAATTTAGGCCTTAGGGAACAAGTGATTGGGCTGGGGACTTAGTTCAATGGCAGGGAACTTGCCTAATATATGTGAGGTCTTAGGTTTGAGCCCTAGCACTGCAAAGAAAAAAAAAGGAACAAGGAAATTACAAGTATTGGAGTTCAACACTGAGCTGTATAAGCAACAAAGATGACTTTTGTGGAATTATAGAATGCTCAGCTAGAAGATAAGTGCTACTTCCTAGAGACCAAAAACTCAGGCAGATGTTTAAGTAGGAAGTCTGACAAACCTATGTAATTCTGATGGAAAAAGGGAAAAATAACAGTCCTGTGTATGAATTTATAAATGCCGTTCAAGACATAAAGAAGTCATTACTGATAATGAGAAGAAAAACAATTTAATATGCAGTGTAACTAAATTCATGTAATACATATTTCCTCACATGATAGAAATTGCTAAGTACCTAAAGAGAGTTAGGAAGAACTAACAAATACGATGTGTGAGACAGTTTGGTACAGTGGTAAAGCATACAGATTCTGTAGCCAGACTCCCTGGTTCAAACACTGGCAAAACATGGCAATGTTTTCAATTTAGCAAATTACAGCCAGCTGTGAATTAATATCTAGGGAAACTAGATACATGAATTCTAGACTCAAATCCTTACCCTCAAATCCTTTCCTTGGGAAAAAGGATCAAACTTTCAAAGTCTCTAGTTGAAGATCTGCAAAATTGAGTGTTGAGGTTTAAGATCCCCTATATGTAAACATTAAAAAGTTTTGCAAATCCTCATGCTTGTCAAAAAGTACCCAGACTCCTTACTATACAGTTTGAACAACTTTGAGAATCACTGTGTAATCTTAGTTTGTATAGCAATCCTTATCAAATTTTATTATTCCCATTTTGGAGATGAAAATGGAGGCCTAGCAAATTTGAAAAACTTAAAAATCACATGGCTATATAAATGATGATGTTGGGATTTTGGTTCTTCCAGTTCTAAAGATGTGTATTTTTCTCCATTTTTTGCATGTTATTCTGACTTTAGACTTGATTTTTGTAAAGTAGGCCAAGATCACACACATTCAATATCTATGTATTTACCCATATAGATCTCACTTTGATATTTCTATGTCTCTACTTTGAGCTGTCATTTGTTCATTTCTCTCCTATTTCAGCACTCCCTTTCCTTGTTATTTATGGTGTTGTTAGACCATATGGGCTAACTCCTATTTCTTACTTCTGTTAAATGTCTCCTTCATATCTGTTTTCTAGCAGTAACACTTGACTTTTACTTGAAATGATATTATACACCTTACAATAAAAAGTCAAATACACACAAAATTAAAATACACATTAAAATTACAATGAACAACAGCTGGGTGCTATGGTGTACGCGTGTAACCTCAGCAACTTGGGACACTGAGGCAGGAGGACTGCAAATTTGATGCAGCCTGGACAACTTAGTGAGTCCTGTCTAAGATTAAAATTAAAAAGAGTGGGCTAGAGAGTACCTGCTTAGCATGCAAGAAGGCCCTAGGTTCAATCCCAAGTACTAAAACAAAACAAAACAAAACAAAAAAAGAGGATGAGGGCTGGGGATGTGGCTCAAGTGGTAGCATGTTTGCCTGGCATGCGTGCGGCGCTGGGTTCGATCCTCAGCACCACATACAAATAAAATAAATATGTTGTGTCCGCCGAAAACTAAACAATAAATATTTTTAAAAAATCTATCTCTGTTAAAAAAAAAGGGAGTATCATGTATATTCAACAGCAAAATAGTTTCCACAAATAGATACTAATTTAAGCTCTTTTTGAGTTAATGGTTATTCATTTGTTTTAAATGTTCATCAAACATTTAAGCAGTTATTTTTCATTTTCTTTTATATTTAGGTCTTTATGAGACAAGGAAATAAATTTTCATGTCTAAACACTGAAACCTAAATCGTTAACTAAATTGTTACTCTTACAATCACTATCTCTAAATGAATATTTGAAAGGAAAGCAGCATTTAATATTTAGCTTCTAGAACACAGAAATGTCTCAGAAACTGTGGACACCAGTGTATGAATATTTGAGGTAATATCTGTGTAATTTGTAGCTCTCACAAACATAAAAACCACTGCTTTTTGGATATGTTATACATTAACTTTTTAAGTCAATAATTCCACATTGTAAAGTAAGTTCAGTCCAATGCTATGATAGTTAATGCAAACAGTTGTAATCTCTATTAATAGAATGATCTTGAAAAGGTAGAATTTTTTTTTTTTTTGAACCAGGGATTGAACCTAGGGGCACTTAACCACTGAGCCACAATCCCAGCCCTTTTTTATATTTTATTTAGATACAGGGTCTCACTGAGTTGCTTAGGGCCTTGCTAAATTACTGAGATTGACCTTGAACTCACACTCCTCTAGCCTCAGCCTCCAGAGCCGGGATTACAGGCTTGTGCCACGATGCTGAGTGAAAAGGTGGAATTCATAACAATTTTTGTATTACTAACACAAATGTCAATTAAAAAACAGTATGACAGGTGTAAAAGTGCAGTAACAAAAATATATCAATAGTCTTATTTGAATAAACCATAGTAAGATCAAGCTTAAAAAAAAACATTGTCACTGTTTTCACTGTTGTTGGTGACTCTTCTCTATAAATACAGTGGTTAATATTTATCATTTATCCTTATTTAAATTTCCTATGAATAAATTTTCCAATACTGATTACTATTTTCAAACACATCATTATCAGCAACTGATTAAATAGATTATTACTGAAAACTCATCAAAGCTTTCAAGGCTATTAATAGTTTCATGCAACTTTAAAATGTCTAAATTTAGAAGTAACTGGCTAATCAATGAGCCTTTTATTGGTAAGAGCCACCATTGCACCAATGTCTATCAATATGTAAATATGGGTTTTAACATGCTTATATATTTTTTAAAGAGCTGGAATATACTCTTTGTAATATATTTGAAACATTATCAAATATTTTGAAAATTTCACTACTACCTAGTCTATGTGTGGCATTAAAAAACACTATTAGCCAGTCATAGTACATTTTTCTAAATTGAATTTTAAATTTTCTAGTGGCTACCATGATAACAAATTTATTATCTTGACACGGTGTATCAGAATCTTCTTCCATGAAGTTCACAGACCTTTCTTATTGTCTCTTTCTAAACGATTCTATAAGAAAAAAGATAACATAGTAAAGAGAAACAGATTCACAGACAAAAATATCTAAAAAAACTCTTCTGTGTATAACAATTAATTATACAACTAATCATGTGTGAAAAATGAATTAGGAAAGTCTCAAATTATAAAAACTATAAAATTTGAGTTTTGCTTGAAAAAACCTTACAGGGCCAAAATAATACCCTTGGATAAGTTCATTTTTTTTCCATTTCTTAATCTATTTTGCTTTTGTTTCACAGGTGACCCAGGAAAACAAAATTTTTTAAATTCCCCTACAGTAAACCCAATTAAGATTTTTGGCAAGGAAAGAATGAAGGGAAGCAAAAACCCAGTTGGAATGGCTTTTATTTTTTGTCTTTCGCAAATTAGAACTGGCTTCACAAATTATGCTTTCCTGATCATGTTATAAAGATGACTATAATATGTCACTTAAAACTGAAGGAAAATGGCAGAGAAATTAACCTTAAGAGATCACTTGAACTAAGAAATCTCTTAAGAGGAACTGTAGAGTATTATTACTTGTACACAAAACTCTTGTTCAGTTTGAGCATTAATGCTTTCAGAGCAACTTAAATAACATTAACAATCAAAAAGACGATGGGATTAGAGGAGGTATCTTGAATAATAACATACCACTTTTATACAGTTATTTATACCTAACTATTTTAGATAAAAAATCACAGCTTTAATGGAACTATTAAGGACAAGTCCTTTAAGCAAATGGTGATTTTTCCAAAATGAAATTTAAAAACTGTCAAGTGCTAATGGGTTTGTGCTGCCAAAAATCCCTAATCAGTTCTTTTTCTTTTCTAAGAAGAAAGGGCAAATAAGGAAAGTAAAGATTACATATTTTGAAGGAACTGTATTCTAATATTTACTTAGTGCCTATATAAGGGACAGGAACCAGATGGGAAAATCCAAATGAATTTAAAAGATGCAAAATGAGATTTGACTGTGGAAAAGAAACCAGGTTTCCCAAAATTTTTATTTTGTTTCTTTAATATTTTAATTATCCTTTATATTATGCTTGTTTCATTTGAACACCTCAATTATATAAAATTAAGAAACGCATAAGTTTTCCAGAGAATCTTGGAATATAATTCAATTACTAAGGTTGTTTTTTGACAACAGAAAATATTCATGAGGTTAAACTCATAAGGTACAGTTCTTATTTAAGTAATGGAGTTAGTTGAGGTACATGGATGTCTGATAATTCACCTGAGGGTTATAGAAGCTGGGATTTTTTTCCCAACCCTTTGAACAGAGATATTTATTAATGGGAGCTGGTTTCACATGTGATGAGAATAGTTGTACCAAATATTGAGGTAAGGCACTTCAAGGATTAGCAACAGCAAAAATCCACCACTACTCCTTGGGCTGAAGAGACAAAGGAGGTTATGGTTAAAGGGCTCAAGACTGAGGGCCAGCAGGTAGAACTGGAACTATTGCCCAGTGGGGAACTAGAACCATGTAGGGAGGGAATTAGAGCCATGAAGGAGATGATACCCAAAGGAAGTGGGTAGGGGGAGGAGTTCTTGGTTTTCTTTTTCCTTTGCTTTTAGCCTGGGAAATTATCTCTCTGAGACATGGAGTAGAGCAGCAATGGGAAGAGAATGGATCAAGAACACATAGTCTAATCAATGACCAGCAAAGGCCAAAGAACCTGGTTAATAATGAAAGTTCCAGAGAAAGATTTTCTGACTTTGAATCCCAACATTAAATCTATCACCTTCTCGTTTACTTTGGGTGAATTATATAACACTTCTGGTTCTTGTTTGTCCAAAAAATGTGGATATTAATATATTTTAACTTACTGAGTTGCCATGGGGGAGTAAGCATATATGAAGCCAAGTGTTATGTCTATTGCACATTCTCAGTAAATGTAATCTATTAAGAATTTTAAAAAATGAGATACAAGTAGAAATTAGATTAAGGCCTAAAGATGCTATCAAACAAGGCCCAACTCCCAGCCTGGTACTTGGTATATCTAGGAAGGGGTCCTTTTTAAAAAAAATGGATATTAACTATTTTTTGGGGAAAGAATTACTCAGAAAAGCTTTCTACATATTTTGCCAAGAATATAGAAGTTCCAAGCTGAAGGTAGTTTTTTTTTTTTTGGTGGGGGGGCACGGGGTGGGAAGGGAGGTGGACAGGTTGGGGAAATCTTACTGTTATATATTCTTTAGGGATTAAGAGAGTTGCCCTTTGCTATTGCTGTTACTACAATGGAGACATTGAACAATGAATGCTGTTTATAAGAAATTGAGGGTATGTCCTATTTTTCTTTTCTCCATTCAATGGTTTAAGCATTTTTCAGACCCTGGTCAAGTCCACAGATATTGAAATATCCTGGTTGAGGACACCTTGAATTCACAGGAGGAAAAAAAAATGTAGGTACAAGGCCTTTGAAATGAATTCTCCACTTCCCATGGTGGATCTTGATTTCATGGAGTAATTCTTATCATGCCCTGAGGAGGTAAGCAATTTCACAAACTGTACAATACTGTGGGGAAGGGCAGTCTTGATGGAAATCTAACTGTCTACTCCAAACCTATTTGAACTGAGCCCTTAGTGTCCTGGGACTGGGACACATAGGATATATACCCTTCTCTAGGCTGCCCAGTCTTCTTATTGTTCTTGTCAAAATAGGCTAGTTGAATCAAACATGCAAACCAACTGGGAATGCCGGATTACAAATATGCTTTGGAATGCTTCTTAACTAACCCAAGACCAAAGTGTATGGTTGAGAATAAGACATTCTTCAATAAAAAGAAAGTGAATCTCAGAGAGATATATTATAATCTCCAAAAATCAAAAAGCTAATATAATACTAAGGTATTCTAGGTATTATTTTTTATATATATATATATAAATAATATATAGGTATTCCAGGTCTTTGACTCCAAAGTCTATTAAGTATAGTGTCTCTGGAGTGGTCTCTCACATATGATCAAAGTATAGTTAGGAAATCACTTCAGGTTATTGCATAGCAACTAAAGAGAGGGACAAAGATAAGCCCAATATGGATGAATGTTTGGAAATAACTCTATAAAAGGGGCATAATGTCTGCAAGAAGGGTAGAGATGGAAAACCTATGGCTCAGATCTGACTATGATTTTAACAACAGAGAGATGTTTTTTCCTCCTATTTCCATTGTTCGAATCAACTGTACAGGCAAATCATGTTACGTATTTTGAATGTCACAGTCTTTTTCCTAAGGTATCTAGAATACCTGGGATATTTGGCCTCACTTTGGCACAAATACTGCAAACATTCCACAGTGAAACTCCAGATTTTCCAGAGCCAGTATATTTTCAATGCTGAATTTTTTTTTGCCTCAATTCTTTCACCTAACATTTCATCCAAATTGAGATATTAAGTTACATGTCAACATTCTTTATGTGATGACTACCTTGTATTTTGCTGCAATGTCCTAATCTTCACCCTCTAGGTAAATCTGCCTTCTTCAATCATTTAATAAAGCCAGGATTAAGTATCTCATTTTAAATTTAGAAGGACAAATATTGATTACCATTTCAAAAAATTTAGGTGAAGTGTATGTTACCCACCTGAAGTTCTGAGTGCTCTTTCAGAAGTCGATCATATTCTTTTGAAAGTCTCTCTGACTGTGTCTTCATTGTCATCACATCACTCTGTGCCTTATAAAGGGCTAGAAAATATCAAATAGAATTTTATTTTAAAAGAATTTGAAATTTACAGAAGAGCTGCAAGACTTATATAGAGAATTTGTATAGTCTTTACTTAAATTTACCAATTGTTAATGTTGTACTACATAGGTTATCATTTTCTCTCTTTCTCTCTTTTTTTTTTTTTTTGATGGTAGTGGGAATTGAATCCAGGGGTGCTTTACTACTAAGCCACAACCCAAGTATTTTTTTTTTTTTTGAGCTACGGTCTTGCTACTATGCTGAGGCTGGCTTCAAACTTGAGATCCTCCTGCCTCAGTCAGGATCCCAAGTCTCTGGGATTATAGGTATGCACCATCATACCAGGTGAGCACACTGTCACACATGATTATTTTCTTCAATCACTTGACAGTAAATTGCAGACATCATGCCTCTTTACTCTTTAAAATTTTACTGTGTATTTCCTTAGAATATTCTCTAACATAATCATAGTATAGTTACTAAATTTAGGAAATTTAACATCAATGCAATACCTTTAATTTACCACCCATATTCTGGCAACTATCCCAATTATCCCAAGTACGCCCCTTTTGGCTTTTTATTTTCTTCCTATTTCTAGTCCAGGATAGTCTTGGATAACATACTACATTTAGTTGTTGGGTGTCTTTAGTTTTATTTATTCTGGAATAGTTCCTCAATCTTCCTCCAGCCCTTCTATCTCCATCTTTTGTGACACTGGCATTTTAAAGAATATAGCCCACTTTTGGGAGCTCAGTGGTACAGTGTTTGCCTGGCATGCATGAGGCCCTTGGATCAATCCCAGTACTGTTTTTTAAAAAAAGAGTGAGTTTTAAAATAGAACAGTTCATTTTGGCTTGGTTTTAAAATAGAACATTCATTTTGGTTTGGTTTTGACTGACTTTTCTCATGATTAAGTTCAGGTCATGCATCCCACTTACTTATGAACATAAGAAATGTTTAATTTATTAGGATATTTAGAGGCTTATCACATCTAAAGATCCTTTGTCCCTCACTGCTTTTTTCATTTTAAAGTTGATACTTTCCCCCTTGTAACTAAAGCAGCAATATATGGGAAGATAATTTCAATAATGTAAACATATTGCTCCTCTTAAAACATCTCCCCTATATCCCACTGATAATTCTTGCCTAAATCAATCCTCATTATGTCAGTTGCAAAATGGTGATTTTACCTACTTCACCATCCCATGCACATTAATGTCAGTATTCTACTGTAAGGAAGAATCTTTTTTTTTGCTCTCCACCCATTTATTTGTCAATTCCATCCATCTGTATGAACTTGTAGCTTTATATTTTTTCAATGACTTACAATTCATTTCTATATTTAATTATTTTGATGCTCAAACTTCCCTAGAATTTTTCAGTGTGAACTTCTTCTTGCTGGCTCCTAGTTCCATTGACATGTCTCCACTCAATTTATTTATTTAGATTATTTGGTTACTTTCTGGCACAACATGTCTAAGGCTCTCCTAAATCTTCCCTACCTCAGCATTATAGAAGAAGTATCAGAAGGGTCTGCTTCCAAAAACATGGATAGAAAAACTATTTTATCATTCTTGCTAAGGGATGGACAACTATATATCACAAAGTTAAAAGTATGGGGTATATAATTAATGCTTAAAAGGTTTTAACTGAAGATAGTCACACACAAAATGGCTATATATTGGCCTCTGTTGACCAAGAAACTACAGTTATAAGTCATCACATTAAAGTCCTTAGAAAAAACAAAACAAAACAAAGCAAAAAAACCAAATATATAATAACACAGTTTGGAGAAGAAGATAATGAGCAAAACATACAGAAAGGAAGAGTAGCCTAAATAGGCAATTAACAAATTAAAATTGACATACTTGAAATTTTCTCTTAATGTTTTTAGAAATTAGTTTTCTAAAATCTGGGAATACTGAACAAGTTCTCTGTATAATACTGTATAAGTAGTCTTTGGAAGTTCTGCATTTGTTAATCTCTTAGGGTAAGAGTTTTAGGGAAGAATGTGGGATTTATAAGTTTAAAATTACTTTATTGTCACAATGAAATTGTCTTATTATAAACAATCTAAATGCTTTCTTGAGAAATCATTTTGTGGACATTTTTACATAAACATATAAGCCATTATCAATTAAAATGCTTTATGTCTTAGTACTTTGTTAGTTGTCAATATGGAAGTAATTACCTATGCACAGCTAGGGTGTGGCTTTAAATGCAGCCAGTACAATTAAGGAAGAACTGAATTTTAATTTTATTTTTCATTAAATTTCAATTTAAATAGCCAAATGTGCCTAGTGGCTAGCCATATTAAATAGCACAACTTCATAATTTCTTTTTTATTCTTTTATAAAGTCACAATTCCAAATTAGGTATTAAAACTGATTTTGACAAACTTAATGTAATATTACTTGGTAAAGATAGACAGATTTTTTTGGTGGTAGTTAGATTTCATTACAATCACAGCTACAATATAGAGTTACATATTAATTTTCAATTTGTATTCTATCAGAAAGGCATTTCCAGAGGCTACCTGAAAATAAGAAACATGGGGTAGGGAGGGGGAGCATGGGAAGAATAGATGAATTCTAGATAGGGAAGAGGGGTGGGAGGGAAAGGGAGGGGGCAGGAGATTAGCAAAGATGGTGGAATGTGATGGACATCATTATCTAAAGTACATGTATGAAGACACGAATTGGGTGTCAACATACTTTATATACAAATAGAGATATGAAAAATTGTGGTATATATGTGTAATAAGAATTGTAATGCAAAAAACCACAAAGTATATGTATAAAGACATGAAATGGCATGAATATACTTAGATACAAAGATATGAAAAATTATGCTCTATATGTGTAATAAAAATTGCAATGCATTTTGCTGTTATTTAAAAAAAATAAAATAAGAAATATGGTTGGTGTTATCTTTAGGACTTAATAAAAATGCTTAAGAGCCCATATTTCTGGTATTTAAAAAGCAAAGTAGATTTCACAATCTAATAATGCCTGACTAGCCTTCGTAGGTTTTAAGGATGCTGATGTAACAATCTAAATGTTTCTTTGCTCCTAAAAGTCATATGTGAAACTTAACCACAATGTCATGGTATGAAGAGGTGGGCTGGGAAGTGATTAGGTCATGAAGGTGAAGCCCTCATGAATAAGATTAGTGCCTAAAGGTCACAGAGAGCAGTCGACTCTCTTCCCTCATTTGAAGACAGGTGAGAGGACTCCATTTATAAACCAAAAAACAGGAACTCACTAGACACTGAATCTGTACTGCCTCGATCTTGAACTTCCCAGCCCACAGAACTATTCGAAAGAAATTTAAGTTGTTTGTCAGCTAATATGGGTCTTTGTTATAGCATTCAAACAGACTAAGACAGTTGGTCAGGAGCTTGCATTGAACAGGGGGTTTGTTCTTAATGTTAAAAATAATTTAAATTTCTGACAAGAATAAATTACTTAGGAAATTTAAGACATCTAAGAAGCTATAATCTACTCAAGAGTTTCCTCAGGTTATTACTGGTATAAAGCTATAATAAAACAACAATGTGTAAATGTTTCTCTGCCACGTCAAGCCAAGGTATGAACTGTTTTTGTTTTTGTGTTTCAGTGGATATCAATAAGCTTAATGATTACTCTCCTACTGAATTCACTCCAATTAGGGAAGATTATTACTGTCTATAAGCCTCTTGGACTGTTTCCTAGTTCTTTTCTACCTCTAATTTTATAAAAATTACAATATTGTGTTTTGGATGCTTTCCACCTCCTTCTGGAACTGCATCTGTAACTAAGGGATTATATAAACTTGTCATCTGACATGTGAGTATGCTTGTTTTATTTTGAGCCATATTATTTTGGAAACAGCATATATAGGAAAAACATAATTGGATAAGGAGGTTTGAGGTGACAAATCTAAACTGCTGTTTCAATTTTTGTTTCTGCAAAAATGGATTGCTATCACTTGCCAGTAGCTTTGCAGAAATGCTGAGGTATTTCATGAGAATCTGGCAGATTGAACTAGAGACTAGGTTTGGAGTCACTAGGAACTTAAGGCACATACATCATTTATTAATATAGAAAATAATCACAGTAAATATTACAGTGATGTATATTAAGCCAATATTTCGTGCAAAATGACATATAAACAGGTCAAAAATATATGTGGTCTTTCCAAGTGCTAAACTACTACATTTATGAGGCTACTGGCACAGTGGGAGGAGCTAGTGATACTAACCTACTGTGTAAATGTATTATATTAATATGATTTCTACCAGAGATAACAGAGACAGTTAAGTCTTGCCAGGAAATGAAAGAGAATAATTTTTAGAGGCATTGGCATGGTATATAAAGTTGGGCTACTATACAATAGCTGAAAGGATTGAGCCAGAGGAAAACATATCTTATTTGAAAAATTTCCATATGTCTAATGTTGTTTTCTTTTCACTTAATTTGGTTCTGTTTTTGAGAACTCAAGAGTGCAATACATTGGAGTTATCCAGTAGTTAGGCTTTGTATGTACTATTCTTTTGCCCTTTATCTATTATTGTACATTAAACCACTGTAATGCTTCCAAGATGCTTAGAAAATAGACACACAAACTTTTGTTCACTAAAGAACATAAACTGTAACTTTAATTATATTAATTTATATATATGCCTATAGTGTCAGATCCATGTATATAAGGTCTATGTTTTATTAACCATTTCATTGATTACCTACTGTCTCTCTTTTGATACTGGGGATTGAATCCAGGGCTTTGCATGTGCTGATAGGCAAGCACTCTACCACTGAGCTACATTCCCAACCCTTTCTAAAACTTATTTTGAGACAGGGTCTTGCTAAGTTGCCAAGGTCGGCTTTGAACTTGAGATCCTCCTGCCTCCCCAGTAGCTGGGGTTACCATGCCCAGTTGGTATTTAGTTCCCTCTTTTTTGGAGGGGAGGGGGAATATCAGGGGCTGAACTCAGGGGCACTCAACCACTGAGCCATATCCC